CCTTGAAGATTGAGATAGTTTAGTTTTTGAGCAAATACCTGCAAAATAATGCCAATCCTATCAGCCTCTGCTGTGTATTAGCCAATGTTAGCATGCTAACTCTTCTTAACTCAGATGGTAAACAGTGCTATCACTGTGACCATGTTAGTATGCCTGGTGCATTTAATGCTAAGCACATAATTTAAGGTTATCGTCATGGTGTTAGCATTTTTTTAAACAGAGCAGTGTTTTTATAAAAGACCTAAAAGGCAGTAAGACGAGCTTAGATACGATGAAGAATATAAAACACAAACAGAGATCATTATATTGTAATATAATAATCCTCTTATCTGTAGTTATTTTTATTTAATTTAATAACTGTACAGTACTCTGTTTATAGTAACCATTGTCCTTGATGTAAATATTAGGAAAAAATGTGTATGTTTCTGTTCTGTGTCCTGTGTACTGTTTGTTGTATATGTGTCTTTCTGGCTGCTGTTAAAACCAAATTTCCCCTTGTGGGACAATTAACGGATTATTCTATTCTATTCTATTCTATTCTATTCTATTCGTGTAGACACAGAGCCACTGCAGGCTGAGGTTTAGACAACATTATAAATAAATGAAAGATTAAATTAAACAATAAAATAAGTGAAGCTGGACATGTGATTTTAGTTGATTATGTAGCAGTTGATCATAAAATGATCGTGCGATCCCTCCAGATTACCGGATTACATTATTAGCCCAAATCACCTGATAGTTCACCTTATACCTTTTGTATGTATTCATATATGGTATGCTTATTAAGGTGGTTTAACATAACCGCTGTTTCTGTGCATCTGCAAGCTGCTTTGCAACCCACCTTCACCTTTTCTTTTCTTTCTGATCTTTTCATTGTTATCACTGATGCCTGCTCTGTTGTGTTGCTCTCACTGCAGATGGGCTCAGCTTATTTTTCCTAGTGTTTTTTTTTTTCACAATCATTTCCAAAACAGAGCCATAATGTTAAAACTAAAGAAGTGTTGTTTTGACTATAGTGGCCTGGAGTGAAGTGTATGGTGTTGAATACTTTCTAAAACTATAGTAGTGGTCATAAATGAAAACTTGCTCCTAGAGTAATTAGTCTGTGTTTGCCTCATCTCTTGGTTAATGAGCATTATGAATGAATGAACAGGAAGGTCTTTAGAGAACTGACCTGAAAATAAACCAATAGGTTTTTGGAAGCGAAGAAATGTGTCACCAAGTGTAGATAGTTTGTTTTGTTTTTTTTTTGAGTAACAATGAGACTCTTTTGCAGAAAAACGTGCCTTTAGGATATGGTTTTGCAGGCTAATGTAGGACTGATTTATTGTTGGGATTTGTTGACAAGAAGAAATGAAGCTCACCAATCTATAAGATGTAGAGAATGGAAATGATGAAGAAGTCTTCATATGTGAATTTGTCTGAGTAATCAAACACAGCATTCTGAGCTATTTCAGTCAACTGCCATGCTTTGACACAGTGTTACCAGCTCCTTAGACTTGGAGACTCGAGGTGCTGCTGCCAGGGCTGCAGAGAGGAGCTCCTGCTTTTGTGCACGCCGGTTGACCGTCATGGGTTACTCGGAATTTAATGGAGCTCAGCTATCATTAATTTCACCTGTACTTTCACTACTGTGACGAGTCAAGAATTCAGCTTTGAAAAGGGTCTATGGAAGGTTTTGCATCACCTCAGATTTTAACATTCAGTTTCCAGGAGAAAGCCCTCTTTTTTTCCACAGTCAGACAGAAAACAGAGCTGAAATAATTTACTATTTTTATTTATTTATCATTTATTATTATCATCATTATTATCATCATAGCTGTTCTTATTTTATTGTTTGTTAATGTCTAGATTTTGATTAGATTAGTTAAACATAACCCTGATTGGATTTAAATGCAGTCCAGCAACAGACATGTTTTCAGGTGGGTATTAAAGAGCAGAATTTTATGTGGAAGACGTTTTTTTAGGGTAGCAGAGACAGCAAGAGGTGGAGGGGAAAACCTAACACATGGTTAAGGTCGTAATGAGCTACATACCTCAAGTCTTCAGGCTTATCCTGGCTAATGACTGCCAATGTGAACTATGAAGCTGCTGTGAGGTTTCATTAATGAGGCCAAGGCACAACAGGCCAGTTTGTCGCCACGTTGTATGATGAATGATGGCCACATAGTGTCGAGAAGGTTGACGAGCTACATGCTGGCGGAGCCTGAAATAACACACCCCTGGGTTTCATTTTCTTTCCTTTGGGAGATCACATACTTGTGTGTGAGGTCAGGTGTGTGTGCTTGGAATACTCATAATGTGGGGCTACTGTTCAGCAACACTGTGGGGAAAAAGCAAGTCCCCACTGAACTACAGCATGACGACTCAGTGTAAGGTTAGCATAAGATTAATATAAATGTCCTCAGCATGTTTGAGTGTGCATCAAAGTAATTATCACTCCCATATCACCGCAGAGGGGACATGTCCTTTTACTGTGGAGTGCGAATGGAATCTGTTTGTTTGACAATGGGTATGTTTTGTTGCAGGAGTCAGGGGAATAATCACAGAGCCCTTCCTGGCTCCCTGTTGTGTGTTTTGCAGGAAGGAAGTTGCCAGGTCACTCCGGGTTGCTGCTCACTGATTGGTCAGAGGACGATGTGCAGACTTGGCTGCGTGACGAGGGACTAGTGGAGCTCGTCGGTATCTTTAAAGCCAACAACATTGATGGACCAGAGCTTAGCCAGCTGAACAAGGAAACAGCAGCTGAGCTTGGAATTGGTGAGGATGGAATTTAAAGCAACCACTAACATTAGTGTACACTTCACTGACACACATTGGAATTCTGTGTTTTTGTGAGGATTTACTCCCTGATCCTAACACATAACAAGACTGAATTAGAAAGCATGATGTAAGCTGCTTTTATTGATGCTCTGATTTATTTTTTCCCCTCCAAAAACTCCTCCCAAATAGTGATGTGATTTAAGGGCGTGAAGCAGCAGCATGTCTGTCTGCTTATACAATCGCAAATCACGCTGGGATGACAGTACCCTGCTGGATGACCTTTACCTTGGGAACAATGATAATCCTGCTGACAACAAGATTAGTCCCCTCAGGTTCGACCAAGGTCACAGTGCAGAAAGGCTCCATACAAACTGTGGCCAGAAAAAAAGAAATCACAACTCATGCAGGCAGCAACATCACAGTACAGCTGCAAATAATATGCAAATGTCAGCATTATTATCTCCACTGAAGCAATTAAACATTCATACAAATTCAAAAATGAAATTTACAGTGCCTTTCTTATTTCTTTTTGTTGGCATATTTGTCAAACTTAGATGTTTCAGATCATCAAACAAATTTGAATATCAGTAGAAGATAACCCAAATGAGTAAATACAAAATGCAGTTTGTGAATGATTTCAGTTTATTAAGAGAAAAAAAAGTTATTTGGCCCTTTGCGATAAAGTAGTTGTCATCCTGCCCCAGTTCACTAGCCACCGATCTCATTACTGTCAGATCTGTTGAATCAAGAAATCACCAAAATAAATCTGCTTTCTAGCTAAAGGATTTTAAAAAACAACACATCATGCCACAACCAAAAGAAACTTTAGAAGAGATGAGAAACACAGTCATTGACATCTATCAGTCTGGAAATGGTTACATTTCTAAGGCTTTGTGTTATCAGCGAACCACAGTGAGAGCCACACATGGAGAAAACTTGGAACAGCAGCGAGCCTTCCCAGGAGTGGCCAGCCTTCCAAAATGACTCCAGCAATGTATCG